TCTTAAGGGACAGGGAGTATAATTAGTAATAAGTAGCAATGGCTTTATAGCCGATCTTACCAGGGACTTGATCATATATGTAGACAGTGGAATCTCTGCCAAAAATATTTTAGACCACAGCGTAGCAGACAGTATCTGGGGGTGGTCTGATGGTGTATCTAATCAATAACATGGGAACCTAGACACCAATTTTCTACCAAGAATATGTTTACGAAAAATTTGGTAGCCACCTTTTTTGTCCTCTTCTCTTGGTATTGTAAATTCTTCTAAATGCACATATAGAGAAATCTGTAATACATAAATACTAGTTGCTTCAATGAACTAAATAAAAATTTTCTCCCTGGATATATTTTGGATGTCGAAAGGAAGAAAAACAGTCCACACCACTAACTCTTTATTTATTTTATTTATTTATTTGGAAAATTTATATTGCCCCTCACTCATGGCAACTCAAAGTGGCTTGCAGGAAATAAAAAAAACACAATATAGAAGAAATAAAAATAAAATAATAATCCCCTACTCCACTCCAGTGACAACACACTCTCATATCAGCCATTTAACGGGCTCCATCTAGCTCTGAGTTCCCCAGGCCCGCTGGCAGAACCATATATTCAGGGCCTTCCCAAATAATGTCAGAGTGGGGGCCAGTCTAATTTCCAGAGGGATGATGTTCCAGAGGGAGGGAGCCACAACAGAGAAGGCTCTTCTGGTTTCTGCCAGATGTATCTCCTTAGGGGACAGGTCCTGCAACATTTCTTGCCTCCCCACTCTAGTGGGTCGGGTGGATGTGAACAGCAAGAGATGGTCCCTCAGATAACCTGGTCCCAAGGGTTTTAAAGGTGACAACCAGCACCTTGAATTGCACCTGGAAGCAAATTGGAACCAATGAAGCTCCTGCAGGAGAGGTCACACATATTTCCATTGAGTTCTGCACAAAACCATGCAGGCACTGCATTTTGCACTAACTGGAGCTGCCGGATGCTTTTCAAGGACAGTCCCATTTGAGCACATTCCAATAGTCAAGATGGGAGGTGATAGGGCAGTGATGACTAATCTTTTTGTTGTGGCATGCCTGCACCTATAATGCAATGCGTGTGTGACCCCCCCACACTCCCCCTGCCCCCTGTGCATGCATGTGTGACCCCCCCGTGCCCCATTTTGGGCCTAGTGGGCCTCCCTGAAGACTGGGAGCAAAAAGAGGGAGCAGAGGGATGTGCTGCACCTCCCCATGCCCCATTTTGGGCCTAGTAGGCCTCCCTGAAGCCTCCTGGGAGCAAAAACAGGACAGGAGGTGTGGCGCAGGCCCCCGTGGCCAGTTTTTGCTCCCAGGAGGCTGCAGGGAGGCTTACTAGGCCCAAAACGGGAGCATAAAGGCCCTCTTGGCTATGACTGCCACCTGCTCAAAGAACAGGAATTGCAAGTCCAGGAGAACACCCAGATTAAGCACTGGGTCTGTTTGGGGCAGTGCTATCCCATCCAAGGTGGCAATTCTCAAAGAACCTCAAACCCAATGCCAGGGTTCAGTTTTAACCCATTGCTCCCCTAACAGCCTCCAGGCACTGTGAGAGGTCACAGCATTGCTTAACTCACCACAGGATGAGACATCAGCAGCATGTTGGTGATATCTCAGTCCATGTGACAGATGATCTCACCCAACAGCTTCATGTAGATGTTGAATAGGAGTGGAGGAGAGCCCTACATTTTGCTGATCTTCTGGGTTGTTACTACAGTGTCCAGAATGTGGCATTGATATCTTGTGCCTTGTAGTCCCCAAACCAACTCCAAACGCGAACGTGCTCCAAACGCGAAGCCAGTCGCTAAAGAGCCAGAAAGCAGCAAGGGCGCCAGGTGGAAAGGACAGGGTCACGATCACACGGAGATGCCCAGAGAGCGGAGCGCACATAACTAAAGGCGGCGCACGCAGTTGGTTTGGGGACTACAAGGCAGCATCTGCCCCTCTTCCTGGGCGCGTCTCTAGGCTGCTTCCGGAGCTACGGGACGCTCTCCGTTGCCTACCGGCCCTTCTTCCTTGGGCTCCCTGCTGTGGGGTACACCCACTTCCTCCTGCAAATTACGCCTCGCAACTCTTCTCTCCCTTTCCTCTCGCTCCAAAAAGATTGCCATCGTATCCCACCGATTCGGGCTTCCAGCCACGTTGTGATCCACTAGTGAGGTTGCCATCTCGGATGGAGGCATCACAGTCTCCCTCTCTTGCTCGCTCTGAACTTCGCATGGACCAAAATAAAAAGATCGCCCGCCGTCATGTTTGGAGCTGCCACTTCCGCGTTTGGAGCTCCAAATGGCGGCGGCACTCCAAACACGGAAGCGGCAACTCCAAACGTGGCAGCGGAATGGGCAGAAGGGAAAGCAACAGCGGCGGGTGCCAAAGGTGTCTGCAGCAAAGGTGTTTGGTGGGAGTAGGGAGCTCTCCGCGCTTCGCCATGATTGCCCGTTAGGAGCGGCTGGTGGCGAGGATGCAAGGGGGGGAATTAAGTCACCCCCCGAAAAGACGGCCTAGCCGTTTTTTCGGCGCTCAAAAAAAAATAAGGCCCGGCCTTATTATGTGAGAAACACGGTAGATATATAACAAGGCACACATTTGCTACCACTGAAGGCTGCATGTATAACTTGTAGAGAGATGTTTAACTTTGAAATGCTTGGACAGGCACTTATAATTCAAGCTTTTATTTTGTTCTTTTATTGCTACTTCTCCATTACCATCACTTCTCAGAATGGCCTGAGGGAAGTAGGAAAGAAGGGGGAAAGAAACTGATTTGTTTAGCTGCTGTAAAACTGTGGAAATGAAATACTGTCTACATTGCTTTACATGCCAGCAAATGAAAGTACCAATTTGCATTATCATGGTAATAAAAAGAAGAAAAAGTCACAGCAAGATATTGTATGCTGTCCATTAGATCAATTCCAATGAACCCAGGAGACCCTTATGACACTGGCCTTCTCACTTATAGTGAAAGAAGGAAAATTAGTCTTCGTGATAAAAAAAAAAACTAAAAAAACTACCAATGTAGACAGATGTAAAGGAAACATTGGGTTTTCTTCTTTTTCTACTCCTTAAACATATATTGATATTGTGAGGAAGTTTCCAGAATAGATAGACACGCCCAAAATGTGGCATCCAGATTATTTTTTGACTTATTAATGTTTTTAGATGAATAGATTCTTGACAATGAATGGTTTATAAGACTTACTTTAAATGTGAACCTGGAGTCTTGGTTTGTTTTTATGCTTTTTCAAAATGCACTGTTGGGATAGCAAATATATACTGTATATTCCTCTTAAGACTAAAGTTTATTTTTAACTTTTTCCCCTGATGTCCTTATCTTCCTTGAGAGTAGATAGTCCAAAAGAGAGGTGAAGATGTGAACTTTACATACCAAGGCACACAATTGGTTCCACAACCTGAAGAATAATGAAGAACCTTAAGTTAGGAGATGACTATAATAACTTACCTAATTAATTTCAGTGGTCTCTAGATAGCCTAATTTTAATGATAGTTTTAACCAACTATTGTATCTTGAACGCTAGAAACATGTCCTGTGATTTCAATTCTGCGAAACAAAGCCCAACGTGTCAATGCTTTGCAAATAGTTTTAAAACAAGGAAATATGCTTTTAATTGTTGTGAAAATAGGATTTTATAGCTAATCTGTAAAAATTAAGAACAGCTAATCTGTATTTTAATTCATTTTAGTAAGTTGTTTATTTTTACAACAGAAATGTCAGAAGAAATTTGGAATGGTTATTGATGTGAAAAATAAAAACTTTATAAAGCCAGATACATTGGCATATGATTTAGGGGTATGCCATTTGTTTCTAAAACCATTCTGGTGTGCATTCATTACAGCACATATGTGGCAGCCACTGAGAGAAGGGAACCAGCTGGCTGTCAAAAAATTACCATTGGCAAAGTTTTTCTTGTCTTAACAAGACTACAAGCTGCCTTCACAGATGGAGTAATAATGGGAAGCCAATTGTGGTCAGAAAATGCATTACATGTATTTTGCCTCTCATATAATATAGGACTTTGCTAAATATTCAGTAGTTTTTTTTTATCCCTCCTCCAATAAAAATAACCTCCTCTCAAAAGAACTGTTGGAATGTTTTCTGCCATTGTCTCTCATGGATGCTGCTCCTTTTATCTCTTTTGTGTCCTTTTTAAAAATTACTTATAATAGCTATGACTTGCCAATCAGATTTGCCATTAGAGACAGCTGATAGTCAATTAAGTGTTAGAGCATACTGAAACAAATGATGGCAGACTAAACGAATACACAAATATATTCACCAGGATTACCAATAACTCTCAGAAAAAGAACAAATAGTCATTTTTATCAATTTGGAAAAGACACCTTAACTATCCAACATCTTCCCCCAAAAGCCAAAATTCTGGGCTCCACCCATTCTAGTGACATAATGATATTGGCCACATCTCAGACAGTCCTTAGTATCATCTGCATGAGGTATGGCTCTTTAACACAAGCACATTGCCCATTCCAGTCTTAGTGATCAAATCACAAGAATTAGTTCCAGTTGCAATTTCCTTTTAAAATTATTAATAACTATTTTAAACATCTCAAAGATGCTTTTTCAACAGGCAAGTGGATTGTGGGGTTGTTGTTTTGAGAAAAAAGACTTATGAATGATAAATGAAGGTCTGTCTATATTCAGGTCTGAGTGTTCACAACATACAATAAACATTTTGAAAACAATAGATTGGGTGGTTTCTAAGAAATTGATAAAGTGTTGCATTATTACCTTAAAGACTGCCAGATTTATTATGTTGTATACCTTGGTGTTTCACTGTCAACTACCAAATGCATTGTTTTACATCTGACACTAGGGATTTATAGCTCACAGAAGTTCCAGCCAGTGTAGAGTGATAAGAGTATTTTAGAGTTATGGGTCAACAACTTCTGGAGGGTTGTGGTAAAACATTCCAGTGTTATATTACTGTAATAAATGAAATTTATTTTGTTCTAGGAATGCAAAGAACCTGATATATTATTTCCAAAAGCAGAGGTTGAAGGAAATATTAATTTCACAAGCACTCCTAAGCAAAGTGATGCTGCTGTACAGTGTTTTGTTACATATTGCCCACCGGAGAAGTTAAGAGGTAAGCACTATGCATTGGGCTTGGCTTCTGCGTTTTAATGTTTTTTGGGGAGGTGGGTCACTGTATTATTTTCAGAAACTCATAACAACTTAGAAAATAACTAGCTAAAGTATAGATTGCAAACTATCTAAGATTTCATGAATGGTGGAAGAGCTGACTGACTTGATGAATTGGTTTATTAGCATAAATTCCAGCTTTAAATGGTTTCCAACTTGGTGCTATAAAACAAACTTAGAAATATAAATTATAATTTCAGTATTTATTTTCTATCAATCTTAAATAACTCCATTGTTTCTAAACTTAGATAAGAAGTTCAGATGTGGAATATAATTTTTTGTTGTCATATTGATGTATTTTAAATAATATCCTGCATATATTAGCTGTTTTGAACAATAAAAATCACATTAACTTTTTTTTTACTAAAGACAGTTTGGACATTTTAATATTCATATAGTGATGTTGTAGGTTAGCATTCTATTTTTCTGGGATGTTAAAATATATTAATTTTAAATGATTAAAAATAACAAGTTCTTGTATATAAATTTAAAGACCAAAATCTAAAATTGAAAATTCCATTACATAAACAATGGAAAATTAAAAATTGGAAAGGAATGGATGGGGAAGGGTATATGCTCTAGTCTTCCCTTGCTGAAGGTTCTGCCACTGTTTGTAAAAGTCCAGGAGATTTTCCTTGTCTTCTTCTTGCAGCAGCGCAGATGGGGCAACTAGCAACATAGTTTTCAATATCCTTTTTGAGAGATGGCCACCAAAATTGTCTTTTGATGAGGTGCAGGGTTTTTACAAACCCAAAGTGTCCAGCTATTTCTGAGTCGTGGCATTGTTTCATGAGATCCATCCTCTGGCTGGTAGGGACATAAAGTTTGTTTTCTACCTAGGCTAGACCATCTTTGAGTAAGCAAATATTTTTGTTAGCTTGGAGCCAGTCATCCTTAAGTAGTTACAATCAACTTGAGTACAGAGGAAAACAAAGAATCGTCATAAAACAGATTCCTAAAAGAATGTGAGATTTAAGAAGAAAGTTCCAGTTCCTGATTATGAGATTAAATAAAAATAGTGTTAATTTCGGATGGCTAACACCAGATGGTATAATGGTAACATGGAAGGACAAAAGATACAAGCTTGACACTGTGGAAAAAGCCGAAGAATTTTACAAGCAACATTGTGATACTGAAGAAGATTCAGGAGATCACGGAGAAGAAAGTGACACAATGGAAGGAAGAGATTCAGGACAAGCAATTGAAGAAAAAGAAAGACCACAAGAAATGGAAAAAGTCAAGAGAAGAAAGATAAGTTAGAATATTATGGAGGAAGATATGAAGAACCAAAGGAATCTAGAACAAGGCACAATTAAGAAAATGGGTGAAGAATACAGGATTTGGTCAACAAACATCAATGGATTAAATTCACCAATAAAACACCCGAAAATATTTACTAAACTCCAAAAATTAAAGATTGCTATAATTGCGCTGCAAGAAGTTCATATAAGAGACAATCAAAAATACTTATTATAACAACCTAAGATAGGCAATTTGTACGTATCATTAGACCAGCAAAAAAAAAAGAGGTCTGGTCCTTTATGTGACAAATAAGATTATGGCAAAACAAATTTACAAAGATAAAGAAGGGAGAATCTTGATAGTAGAGGTTAAACTAAACCACAAAAATATAATTATTACTATGGTATATGTACCAAATGGAGCCCAAGAACTTTTTTTTATAAAAATCTCTATAACATAATTAGCGACATAGAATGTGATGGGTTATTTATAGTCGGGGACTTCAGTGCAATCGTAGATATAACAAGACACCATAAACATAATAATACAAGAAAAGGAAACAAAAGAATACTCCCAAAACATTTTTTAATACAACTAGAGATTTAAATTTGATAGATGCTTGGAGAGAAAGAAACAATGAGGAAAATTATTATACATTTTATTCTAATCATCATAAAGCTAGTGGCTATCGAAAGAATTAGATTCTGAAATACAAAAAGTGAATATTGAGACTAATACCTGGGCTGACCATAACCCTATAAGTTTACAGTGGAAAGGACACAATGCCGCACCAAGATGGACTTTTCAACAGGCAATTCTCAAAGAAAAAGATTTCAACCTAATGATGGAAAAAGAAATGGATCTCTTTTTTAAATTGAATAAACAAGATAATATATCCCAGATTGTCTGGGACGCTGCCAAAGCATATATGTGAGGTGTGACAATTTCCTATACAGCTAAAAGAAATAAGGCAAAAAAAACATCACCAGGAAAAAAATTAGAACAAGATCATAAACAAATTGAGGCATTACATCAGAAAGAACCTAACAATAAAAGTAAATTAATAAAAATAATAATAAATTAGATCTACTCAAACACAAATGACATATTCTAGAGACAGAGAGGCTAGCACAACAACTGAAACTAGCCAAACAAAATTATTTAGAAAATGCCAACAAACCTGGACGTTGGCTGGCACAAAAGTTAAGAAGCCATAGAGAAAAACAACGTATTAACACATTACAAAATGAAGAAGGGAAGATATATTATGATGAAAACTCCAAAAAGGAAATTGCTCAGAGGAAATGAAAGTTATTCAGAAGAAAAGTTCAGAGCATATTTAAGAAAAGCCGAATTCCCAAAGATTCCAGAAACAATAAAATCAATGCTCAATGGGGAAATCAATCTGGCAGAAGTTGTAAAGGCAATCGACAAAACAAAAAAATAATAAAGCATCCTATCCTGATGTCATACCAGCAGAACTGTATATAGAACATCAGCATACCTTGACCCAACATCTATTAGATGGTTTCAAAGTAGTGTTTTATGAAGAGAAAATACCAAAATCCTGGATAGAAGCCAATATAGTACTGATAAAAAAAGAGGGCACGGACCAGACACAAATTCAAACTATAGGCCAATATCTCTTCTAAACGCTGATTATAAAATCTTCACAATGGTTTTTTTATTTTTTATTTATTTTTTATAACAAACAAGATAACAAATAAAACCTTCTTTCAATTGTACAGTGTGTCGGTTTGGTACATATGTTGTGTGCACAATACTTATAATCCTTTCCTCTTAAATTTACATTCATATTATACTCTAATCAACATTTTATATCATATTGTATCATTATACTATCATTAAAGTTTTAATTTCAATTCCAGTCTATCTTTAAAAACACAATCTCAACTCTTACTAAATTGTATTCATATTATAACTTGTTCAAAATAGTCAATTATAATATATCATTACTATTACAATATACTTCAATTTCTTACTTTTCTATCTAGCCATTCATAAAATAAATCCCAGATCTTAGAATACTCTTTTCTTCTTGCTCTCTAATTGCTAATGTTAATCTACTCATTTCTGCACATTCCATTATTTTCCTAATCATTTCCTCCTCCGTCGGAATTTTCTCATTTTTCCAATTTTGTGCAAATATAATTCTAGCTGCTGTTATTACATTAATAATCAAATATGTTATTTATTTACTATAACCTTCAGGCAAAATTCCTAATAAAAATATCTCTGGTTTTAAATCTATATATTGTTTTATCATTTTTTCCAACCATGTGTGTATTTTAGTCCAGTATATTTTAGCTTCTGCACATGTCCACCACATATGGTAATATGATCCAGGTATCTGATGACATTTCCAACATTTTGCCGAATTATCCTTAAACATCTTTGCTATTTTTTCTGGGAGTAGATGCCACTGTAAAACATCTTATACAAATTCTCTTTATAGACATCGTTAATTTATAGTTTCTAGTCCATAATTTCTGCCACATCCAAATCTATCCCATATCCAAATTTTCCCCCCAAGCAATCTTTTCTTTGACTTGTTCTTCTTCTAATTTCATTCCTAATAAATAATCATATAGTTTTTTTAAATCATTTTCTCTTCAGTACCTGTTAAGATTTTATCTAATTCAGTCAATTCTTTATAAAACCCATCTATCTTACTTTCTTTTTCATATATAGAATGTATTTGCATATATGAATACCAATTCCTGTTCATCCCTTGTTCATCTAATTCTTGCTTTATTTTGAGTTCACCCTTTTTGTTTAAAATTTCATTATATCTTACAATATGTTCCATTTTAAAAACATTTAGATATGCAAATGCCTCTATTGTCGATAACGAGACTGGTATTTTCAAATAACGTTTTTTCCTTTATTTTCTTCCATGTTGATAATAAAGCATCTCAGATATAATGTCTCTGGAAATATTCATGGACCTTACTTTCCTTATACCATAAAAATGCATGCCACCCCAATTGCAGATCATGATCTTCCAATGTTAACAGTCTAGTATTTATGAAAACAATCCATTCTTTCATCTACATCAATATTACTGCCTGATAATATAGTTCCCAATTTAATAATCCAAAACTTCCTCTCATTCTAGTGTCCTATAACAGTTTTAACTTAATTCTTGTCTTTTTTTCCTGCAATATATATTTCAACATCATTTTATTTAAATCCTCAAAATTATTCTTTCCCTAATTTTATTGGAATCGTCTGAACAAATATAATATTCTTGGTAATATATTCATTTTAATTGTCGATATTCTCCCTGTTAGAGATAACTGTAAGTTTTTCCTTTTTTCCAAATCTGTTGCAATCTGTTGTTTTAGTCTATAGTAATTATCCTCCTTGAGTGTTTCACATCTCGCTGCCAATTGTATCCCCAAGTATTTCACTTTTTTTGTGATCTGGATATTCAGTCTGTCCATCAATACTTTTCTTTGTTTTTCTGTTATGTTCTTCACTAAAATCTTAGTTTTTTCTTTATTTATTTTCAGTCCTGCTACCTGCCCATATTCTTTTATCCTTTCTATCATCTTAGAACCTGTTTCCAATGGTTCTTCTAATATAAAAACTAGATCATCTCCAAATGTCTGTAATTTATACTCCTTTTCTATTTTAATTCCCTTTATTTTTTTCTTTTTCCTAATGTTTCTGTTTAAT